TCCTGCTGCGAAGGGAGTCGAAGAAGACCCTAAATGAACTCTTTGCCTCCTTGCTGGGAACTGAGACCACCGTTTCCTGACGCCATCAGTCTGCAGAGATGCAACTTCAAAGATCCTATGTCGCCGGCTCATATCGCCCGACGAAGGAGGCGCCTCGGTTGTAAACATGTTCATGCAGAAGGTGATCGAAGGTTTTTGCCCATGCCTTGCGGTTTGCTTCAGGACATGGACCTGTTCGCGAGCTTGGAGCCCCCGAACGTGCAGGAGGAGCTCTCGTGTCTTCGCGATCTGTCGGGCCATCGTTGAGCTTTTTGTTGGTCGCAAGAAGGAGGGTTCGAAAGCCAGGGCTTTGAGATGTACGTTTTGAGCTTTTTGTTGGTTGCAAGAAGGAGAGTACGGAAGCCAGAGTTTTGAGATGTACGCTTTGAGCTTTTGCGTTGGTTGCAAGCAGGTGAGTTCGAAAACCAGGGCTTCGAGATGCACGCTTTGAGCTTTTTGTTGGTTGCAAGAAGGAGAGTTCGGAAGCCATGGCTTTGAGACGTACGTTTTGAGCTTTTTCGTTGGTTGCAAGAAAGAGAGTTCGAAAGCCAGGGCTTTGAGATGCGCGCTTTGAGCTTTTTGTTGGTTGCAAGAAGGAGCGTTCGACAGCCAGGGCTTTGAGATGTACGTTTTGAGTTTTTTCGTTGGTTGCAAGAAGGAGAGTTCGGAAGCCAGGGCTTTGAGATGTACGCTTTGAGCTTCTTGTTGGTTGCAAGAAGGAGAGTTCGAAAGCCAGCGCTTTGAGATGTACGCTTTGAGCATTTTCGTTGGTTGCAGGAAGGAGACTTCGAAAGCCAGGGCTTTGAGATGTACGCTTTGAGCTTTTTGTTGGTTGCAAGAAGGAGAGTTCGAAAGCCAGGGCTTTGAGATGTACGCCTTGAGTTTTTGTTGGTTGCAAGAAGGAGAGTTCGGAAGCCAGGGCCATGAGATGTACGCTTTGAGTTTTTTGTTGGTTGCAAGAAGGAGAGTTCGAAAGCCATGGCTTTGAGATGTACGCTTTGAGCTTTTTGTTGGTTGCAAGAAGGAGAGTTCGAAAGCCAGGGCTTTGAGATGTACGCTTTGGGCCTTTTGTTGGTTGCAAGAAGGAGGGTTCGAAAGCCAGGGCTTTGAGATGTACGTTTTGAGCTTTTTGTTGGTTGCAAGAAGGAGAGTTCGAAAGCCAGGGCTTTGAGATGTACGCTTTGAGCTTTGTCGTTGGTTGCAAGAAGGAGAGTTCGAAAGCCAGGGCTTTGAGATGCACGCTTTGAGCTTTTTGTTGGTTGCAAGAAGGAGAGTTCGAAAGCCAGGATTTTGAGATGTACGTTTTGAGCTTTTTGTTGGTTGCAAGAAGGAGAGTTCGAAAGCCAGGGCTTTGAGATGTACGCCTTGAGTTTTTGTTGGTGTCAAGAAGGAGAGTTCGGAAGCCAGGGCCATGAGATGTACGCTTTGAGTTTTTTGTTGGTTGCAAGAAGGAGAGTTCGAAAGCCATGGCTTTGAGATGTACGCTTTGAGCTTTTTGTTGGTTGCAAGAAGGAGAGTTCGAAAGCCAGGGCTTTGAGATGTACGCTTTGGGCCTTTTGTTGGTTGCAAGAAGGAGTAGCCGACGGGGCCGGCAACAACCAGGCGAAATATTCGCGCAAGCAGCTGACAGGGCCGCGCAAGTAGCCGACAAGGCCGGCAACAAAGCGGCGAAACATTCGCGCAAGTAGCTGCCGCGGTGCGGGACATGCACCTCAAAGCAGGGCCGCGGGAAACAAAACTACGGGGTTAGGGTGCCAGGGCACTCGCAGGGCAGACAATGAACGAATCCTCAAAAGCTTGCCTTGCCCTTGCCCTTGCCCTTGCGCTTGCCCTTGCCCTTGCCCTTGGTCTTTCCCTTGCCCCCTTGCCCTTGCCCCCTTGCCCTTGCCCCCTTGCCCTTGCCCCCTCGCCCTTGCCCTTGCCCTTTGCCCTTTGCCCCTTGCCCTTTGCCCTTTGCCCTTTGCCCTTTGCCCTTTGCCCTTTGCCCTTTGCCCTTGCCCTTGCCCTTGCCCTTGGCCCTTGGCCCTTGGGCCTTTGCCCTTTGCCCTTTGCCCTTTGCCCTTTGCCCCTTGCCCTTGCCCTTGCCCTTGCCCTGCCCTGCCTGGCCTGCCCGCCCTGCCCTGCCCTGCCCTGCCCGCTGCCCTGCCCTCTGCCCTGCCTGCCTGGTTCACAAAGTCGAGGTCCCCTCCTTTCTTTTCCTGTGGCTGTTTTAAACTTCGGTTGAAGAAATAAAGAAAAGAACCATAAAATGAGTTTAGGTGCTAAACCTTAAAAGGAATAGGTTTGGGTGGTTTGGCCGCCTTAGACGGCGTGGGGTGGTAGAGCTAAAAGACTAAAAGACTCCAACAACCAATCATCAGAAGACGACGCACTCGAAATTACACTGTCGCGAGATACTTCCGCTCATGCGCCACTTCTACGACAAGCCCGAAACCCTAAACCTAAACCCCAAAGCCTAAGCCGTAAACCTGCTTCAATCCTACCTAACCTTACTGGTTCTGTACACGCTCCTGAAGCTACGGTAGACCACGAGGCCCTTATAGAAGTCCGTTAAACCTCTACAGAGCCACAAAGCCCGAAGGAGTTTCCTAGTCCGACCTAGTATAACACCCTTATACCCGCGATGAGCACGAATGGAAGACCCTGATACTAATAGGGGCCTCAATAATTACCAATATTATTGTGCGGGTTCCTTTTTATGAGGAAAGTATCAAAACCCTATTCTAATTATCGAGGCCCTTATATTATCTGCTATAACAAGGAGCCCCCAAACTAGTATAGGTAATGATTAAGGCCCTATACCCTAAACCCTTATAGTAGCCTTTATAGCGCCGTTTTAAGGAACCCTTTAAAAACCCAATGAACCCCTGTTTGAATTTGTAAGGCCCCTATGATACCCGAAGCCCCCCACTCAGTAATAGTTGAATAATGTTCATAAATCAGATATATTAGGACCCAAATAGTAGCCCTATTATAGACTCTTACTGCATGGGGGCAGTACTTACATGATACCCGGACCCCCCCCCCCTTTTTTAAGGCCCCTATGATATATCTTCCTTATAGACCCCTTTGAAGGGACCCTTTAAAAGGAACCCGAAGCCCTCTCCTTTTAAGGAGTGCAGTGCGGCCTACGCCGGTCCGGAGTCGGTGGAGGCAACGGCGGACGTCATCGCCAAAGCTGCGGGGCCTTCAGGGCCCAATGACGAGCCACCTGGCTTCGCTTTCTTATCAAGGCTTTCGGGTCGTTTTTGGTTTTAATTTGTTTAATTTTCAATGCTTTCGGGTCGTTTTTAGGTTTTATTTGTTTAATTTTCAAGGCTTTCGGTGCATTTTAGGTTTTGTTTGTCTAATTTCGAGCGTTTCTCTGCTCGTGTTTTCGGTGTTGTAGAGCTTTCGGCCTTTTAGGTTCCAGGGTGCTCGGGCTGCTAGTGCTCAGGGCTTCGGGCGACTTCGCATGTGAGGTACTACAGAACCACCGTAGCTTAAACTGTAGCCGTTTAGGGTTTTGGGGTCTAGGGTTTTAGGGTTTAGGGTTCTAGGGTTTGGGGTTTAGGATCATCCTGGCCGGAACAAGCTGCACCACTACCGCTGTCCTGCCAGGTACTTGTTCTCTCTGGTGGAGGTGCAATGGTCGGGTCAAATGCTGCGGGTGATTTTTCTGGCGCGGGATAATTCCGACAAGTATCCCTTTAAAGTCCCTACATAGTCAGTATGCCATAGTATATACACCTTAAGGCCCCCACGTCAAGGATCTTAGTCTTAGCCGTACTGACAACAACAGGGGCATAGCAAGACCCTAAACCCAAAACGCTAAAGTGCAGGGTTTAGGGTTTAGGCATACGGGTTTTTACAGGGGCTTTTATCATTATTATAGGGTTTTGGGGGCCCATTATACTACAATTACAATAATTAGTAAGGAACCCCCGAAATAGTATTGGTAATTTTTGAGGCCCCTGCATTAAACTCCTTATGATAGACCTTATAGTAGCTATTATAGGCCCCCTTTCAAGCACCCTTAAAGGAACCCCCAACTATTTAGGACACCATAATCCCACGGTGTCTTTCATTTCCGGGGAGGCCCTTGAGGAGTTTGGCTTGCCAGAGGACACCTACCTGGATAAACTCCTGAGTGCAGTGCGCCGGAGGGCAGCGTGATTCTTCGAGAGTCAAAAGAAGGGACAGCCGTGGTCAGGGTTGTTTAAGGTTTCGGGTTTAAGTTAAAGGTTTCCACGAAAAGAGCTTTACAGGATTTGTGGTTGACGATAGCAGCGCGGATTGAACAGGGTAGATTGCAAGTTCCGAGCATAGGACTGCACCCTGGCGCGCGCTGGCGTCGTACGAGTTGAGGGGCGGCTTGTTGTCGTAGCTCTAGGGTTTAGGGTTTACAGCCAGCACAAACATCATCTGATCTGGTTTGCATAAGCACGGACAGCATAGAGCAGTGCTGCGCACTTCTTAAACCAAGTCACGCCTCCGAGATAGATAAATCTGCCACGGCACGATTAAAGGTCGGATTATACATCAAGAAGAGTTGTTGGGGGGTCAACCCCAATCCCAATCTGCGAGATGTGACAGTGATAAGAGTGTTGCAGGGGGATATTCGTTTTCTAATGTGGTTATGAAATAAGGAACCCCTATCGAATCATTGGCTTCTACATGAAACCCTCAGCCTGCATGGCGAAACGTTTTCGTATGTGAGGGATAGGGCAGTCGACAGCCCGACGAGTAAGTTTTCTAAGTTTTCGTGCCAACGTAAAACAGGGTCTGCATCGTCAGTAATGCTACTGTTTCGCAGTGCCTGATATGCATGTCTACATAACTACCACTATTTTTGTTTAGACGGCATCATGCTCCCTTGTAGCCCCAACAGGCGCCCCCCAAAACCCAATCCAACCATTCAAGGCCCTTTCTTAGGTTGTCATCGTCTGTGTGACGCAATGCTGATTCAGTGGTTGCCGCAGGCTGCACGAGGGAGAAACACGTGCCCTTTGTCACGGCGATCAGGCAGGGTTGGCACGGGAGTCGTAATCTGCGCTACATGAGATTTATCCGGATTCAACTGCTGCTTCACGGGAGTACAGTGTTTTACAAAGATATTTCTACTGTATTGACGTCGTCGCGCGCCTCTTCAACTCCAGCTGACCTGCGAGATCTCGTTGGTGAACCCGCCGCACTCCTCTGCAGAAGGAGCTGAAAACAAGGCGGGCCAAGCTTGCTGAGCACAGTGTCTGCTCTCAGAGATATGCAATTCGGCAGAAGATCCCAAACCCTGCAGCCCCCAGACCCCTAACCCACAAAGCCTAGACCACAACCCCCCATATCCATATATACAGATGTATGTATGTATGTATGTATATATATATATATATATATATATATATATTATACATATATATATATATATAACTAACAAAATTCCCAAACCCTGCACCGTGAAGCTCAAACCCGCTACATCCCCGAAGCCTTAGACTCTCTAAAATCCGTCATCCCACGTGCAGGCAGTACTTTCGTACATCAATACCCTAAACCCCAAACCCTAAACCCAAAACCCTGCACCCAAAACCCTACACCCAATACCCTAAACCCACAGAAACCCCAAAGCCTAAACCCTAAACAGGCCTTTGCTGTCTTCGTCTTTCGGGAAACCTCGCCGCAGGAGACTTCTCGAGCGGTCACAAGAAACACAGTTTCATGCAGAGCCTTAGGAAGTTGAATAGGGTTCCTTTACTTAAATGGCCTACTGTAAGGCTATAAGGGTACTGCAATGCCGGGGCCTCAATAATTGAAACAGGTTATTGGGGGTTCCTTATTGAGCACATAGTAGAATACGCCCCCAAACCCTATTCTAATGATTAAGGCCTCGATTCTTCTATCCGTACATAGAACAAACACACCGACGCCGTACCTTCCCTTTGAACGCCCTACATTATATAGGGTGTGCTGAGGCTTTGTGAGGTTTCAAGTTTCAGGTTTGTGGTGTTCGGGCACTTTTATTAACATTACGTAAACGGTGTAGTCTCGTGAAACTCTCTGAAAAGCCTGTCCGAACTGTTAAGCCCGATATTTTACACCTTCCGAGGTCCGAGACCAGTATAAACTTTCAAGCCGTCGTTGAGCAATGCCTATATACTAGTTACGAATGGCTTCATACTGAACCCTTGCATTGCCGCGTGCAGAACTCTTTACAGGAAACCTGAACGAAGCAGTACCGTTTTAAGGCTCGCTCTTGCCCCTTTTTGTATGCGAGGAGATGATGGCACCAGCTGTGAAGCGCCGCAGGCCAGCGTTTTTAGGGTTTCGATGGGTTTAGGGTTCACAGGATTAGGCCCTAGTCGATGGCACAAGCTCGGGTATGGACTACTTAAGATTAGGGTTGAGGGTTTGAGAAGCAGATTTTGGGTTTTAGGGCGAGGATTTCGGCTCAAGGGTTCAGGTTTCGGGTTAGGATTTGGGATTTTTTGCTGTAAGGCCTCGGATTTCGGGTATAGGGCTGCAGGGTTTAATAAGTGTTCAGCGGTTACGGTTTGCCCAAAACCCGAATTATTCTAGTTTATTGGGGCCACTGCATTAAACCCTAAGAGTGCCGGGTGTGGGCCACATACTTTCCAATGCTCTACATTCGAGCACAACCGGTCGTTAACAGATCGTACTCCTTCCAATGCAAACTGTGGGCAACAAATCGTACTTCTTCCGGCGCTTTACCACACCTTGGGCAACAAACCGTATGTCTTCGTGCACATGCGTTGGACACCAACTCGTAATTCTTACGAAGCATTTTATTCAACCACAAATTGTGGGCAACAAATTATAATTCTTCCTTTTTCTATACGGGTTACGAAACGGCTTTTCCTAGGGGTTTATAATCCCCAGACCCGACCCTTGACCCTAAACCCAGTTCAAAATCTACTGGATATTTCGAAAGACGTTGTGCTGCCCTGGAATGCAACAAATCACGAATTGTTCTCAACAGTCTGTGCTCGGTGCAAAAGTTTAGAAGAAGTATGACTAGTTGCCTACACTATGTGCTCCAACAGAGAGTTCCGGAAGAAGTACATTTTTCCCACAAAAGTGTTCTCGAACTTGTATAATATCGGAAGAAGGACGTTCGTTGGCAATCGCTCCGTTGTCAAAGCCCATCTGGCATCCGCAGGACGAAAGCCCGAAACCCTACAAGCCCAGGCCCCTTAAATCGGAGCCGGTGCGCAAGCCCGAAGACATAACTTTCGATCGTCTACAGTTCTCAGATTTCCGAAGCCAGAGCTGAATTTCAAGACATGACAGCTTACTTCCTCACAGAAGTGAGGGTTCCGGGGGTCGGGGGTAAGTATGCAGGAGGTTACTTGATATACCGCGTCATGGTTCTATACTCCTGAGCCTACGCGTCCTCAAACTGAGCTAAAGACCTTTCGCAGTATGCAACATGCCGCAACGAAATTGGTTGTTTTGTCGGGGGTGCGATTTCTGGTCGATTTCCGAGTAGCCAAAAGCAGACCCTGGGAAGTCTACGAGTAGTGCCCCTGATTAGCAAGAAGCCAGGTGGCTGGACACCTATCATCGCAAACGACTACTGGCAGAAGCACAGCAAGATCAAAACTCCAGACGATTCTAAATCCAACCCCTAGAAGGCCTGGACCCTAGCTTAGGCAAGGATATTTCGTGAGCACATAGAGCCCGAAAGTCTCAAGACCATATGGCTTCAAGGGAGAACAGGACCGACTGATGTAGGGATCTGAGGACTTGATGATGATTACAACTTCCCCTAGTCATCCACACCCCAGATAAATTATTCCGATTCCTTGATCAAGTAAGGCCCCATGTCGCGGGATCTCGAATGCCAAGCTTTGAACAATAACAGCCCGAGCAGGAAATGTAGGAGTACTACTGTATTACCCTAAACCCCAAAACCCCTTGGCCCCTAAACCCTAAACCTTAAGCCCCTAAACCCCTAAACCTGAATAAACCTCTCTTTCATATGTATTTAAAACTCAATAGCTTTCGTCGGCAATGTGTTTGTTCACAGTTGCCTAGGCAAAAATTCGTGGTTTTCTGACGGCAACTTTTCATTTTTTGTCGGCAATGTTGACCGTTGCCGATTTTCTGTCGTAGATTCTGCGTGTGTTTCGTCGGCAATGGTTTTCTTTCACCGTTTCTCAACTGTTACGGTCCGTGCAGCTTGGCGGATGCGATGTTTCCCACTATGGCAGCGAGGTAAGCACGCTGCGGGGTGGCAATGTTCCCAGCAGAATTGTCAACTGACACCGGTCTGAAAACATCCTTTCTTGTACCAGCGGTATAAGCACCTGTGGCAGTCGCCTGGGCCAATATTGGTTTAAACTGGACAGCACAGTTTGTGTGTGCACCCTTCACAGGCTCCCATCGAAAGGGTGTCTGCCTAGAAGTTCGACATTGCTGCATGTCTTGGCTTTCAGCATCTCGCTCGTAATCTCTAGTGACTGTTTTGCATCATCGCCGAGACCCCAGATACAAATGAGGTGGACTCTTGCACCAGTGGTTGCTTGAGACTCGCCCGTCATTCACCGTTTGTTGAGGTGATGGACTTCTTGTTCCCCGTCACGATGGTAGAGGCCATGGGAGAAATGCGAATTTTGCAGTCAGTACTGCATTGCCTGTAAGCTGTCCATTAATCCTGAACGGGTTAGGGCAAGATGTTTCTTGGAGTCGGGTCCGCTGCGATCATGATCGGAAGGGGTTTCCCCATGAAGACGCCGGGACGTATTCGTATTCGAATGTACTGGAAGCAGTCAAATTCGATTGTCTGACCTGGTCCAAGCATCTACTGCGAGCTCTTTCTGATAAATGCTTGCAGAGCTGGCTTGGAGTGAAAGTAATTCATGGAGTTCGTGGGTAGCTTTGACAGAAAGGGCTGTTGTGACGATTGGTTTCAACGTCAGTGCTTTCACTGAGAAGCCGTGAGACACCAACTCTAATCGAAGCCGTGGTAGCTGCAGACAAGCATGTCCTTTGGCTTGCTGCATGGATGTCTTCTGGACTACTACATTCAAGTTTTTCATATTCTGTATCTTTTCCCGCGTGTGCCACATGAGAACCACCCGCCAAGCCAATTGCATAAGCGCTTGAGTTCTGGCTGGAGGTGGAATGCTGCGTTTCTTCTTCCGAGTCCGGGGGTCAGGGGGGAGGCCGGCGGGGGGGGGGGGGGGGGACTCTGATGACGTTCTCGGTTTAGAGATACATTAGTTACATTAAGCTAGTCTTCCTCTTGCAATTCTTCATGGTCATGTTTGTATGGTGATGCACGTGGGGATGTTGATGGATGGTGTTTGCATGGCACTGGATGCAGGCATATGTAACTGCACTCTTTGAGAAACATGCCCGCGAAAGCAAAAGGAGAGCTGACAGAGCCATGATTTCAGGAACTACGAAAACATTGCTTGGTCATGAGATGTACGTTGTTACAAGCCTGTCCTGCAACGGTCATGCAAAGCGAGCTTTTGCTCGAGCTTCACGCGATGCAACGGATTGCCAAGCAAGTTGTCCAATTATCAAGATTTCAGAATCCACTCAAGATAAGCGGCAGAATCCAGAGCCCACCAGTTTAACGGGTTGGCTGACGAAAAGGGTATATCTGGGACCACATAAGGATCACCGCGTTTGCCTTTGCATACATTTGTAGACCACATGAGGAACTTGCAAACCGACGGAGGCAAGAAGATCAGTCAGCTGAAACTCCGATCGCATCGAGCGCTGCCGAGGATCGGGGTCTCTGGTGTGTAAAACGAAGAATTTGATTCCGGTGATTGCAGATCAACAAAGCTTTGCTCAAGCATGTCATGCCTGAGCCTCAGCTTTTCCGATGATGTTCAGTTCTGTCGTGGTCGCAGCGGCACTTTTTCCACCTCGCCAATGCATCCAAGGGTGCTTGAAGCCACGGTGACGGCAGTCGCAAAGGTTGGGACCGTCGGGCACGTGCCATGATGAGGTAGCAAATGCAGCATTTGGAGGAGCAAGAAAGCCAGCGCGACAAAATCCAGGCGCTCGAAAGCGAGGTTGCAGAGTTGCACAACTTGTAGATTTTCCCCTGCATTCACATGTACTTTTGCCCTCCTCCGTGTTCGCCAGGAGAACGCACGGCTTCGCAGCTTCAGCTGATGAGGCGCATCACGTCTTTGTGTTCCAGCGTGGATTTGCTTGCAGTAAAGTTTTCCATGCAGTCTTCTTCAAGCTTGCGTGCAGACGTCGTGTTTGCCTTTGTTTCTCTCACAGTATATAGGTCCCTATAATTAGTGCAACAGCTTGTCTAAGTTGAGGGGTTTGCAGACGGTGTTTCAAGTAGATGTGGCCATGTGGGGCATGTGTGGCAGCTGTGCGTGTGCACATGCGTGCTTGTGCATGTGTACGTGCGCATGCGCGGTTGCGTGCACGTGCGTGCGTGTATGTGCGTGTTCGTGCGTGTATGCGCTTGTGTGCGTGCGTGTACTCTTGTGTGTACGTGTGTGTGTGCGTGTATACGTGTGTGTGTGTGTGTGTGTCCCGACCTAACCCCTAAGCCCTAAGCCCCAAACTTGCAACCCGCAATCCTAAACTGGTGTCGGGCCGTGAAGATGCTAGGTCATGTAAGATGTGATTGTAAGCGATCCCGCATGCGGTCCTTTTGGATGCGCAAGCGCGCGGTGCGTCGGAGTGAACGACTCAAGCTGCTGCAAGCTGCAGGATTTTCAGTTCTCAGGCTGCGCGGAATTTGGCAGCAAATTCTCAGCTAATGGGAATCCTGGGTCCTCGAACTTTGGTTCGGAGGCTGGGTGCTGCACATGGCTTTCACGGGCCTTCAGCGTGAACTGAAGCTAAAGTATTGCATTATCGCAACCCTGTACTCAAGCAGCCTCCAGAAGGCCGATGCACCTTTCGACACCGCTCACCAGATGAAGTGGTAAGGGCCATCGCGCTTCTCGTCAGTCCCAATTAGCGCGTTGAGTGCCAAGTCTGCTAGAAGGGTTGAAGCACTGAATTCTCGCCGAGATCAGGTCGCCGATAGCCTTGCTTGGGGGCGGCTGCTGCAGTGGCAACACGGCTTCGAGACGCGAGTCCTCGTCGACGAGCATCCCGCTCTCTCTTCCAGATACCGGCCTGTCGCATGGAGTCTGGTCTACTCCCAGCCTGCTCCAAAAATTTGGGAATAGGACAATCATGATTTCTGCGCCAGGGCTTGGATTGAACGTCGTATCACCGACCCAATCTGCCCTGGACCGGAAGTCCTTCTCATTGGCTCTGTGCCTCATTTGGTCTTCGTGAAGCCATTATGAAGACAAAAAAAAGGCTAAACGCCATCAAGCCTTTACAGAGCCTTAAAGCCTCTGGATTCTCCGGATACCCTAGACCACCCTAATCCAAGCCAGAACACCTGAAACCCAACCTTCCCTTAATCGAAACGCCGCTCCGATCTCGCCAGGATCTGCCAGGAGGGCTTCGACCCCGGGGCCACGGTTCCAGGCTTGGGTTTAGGGAGGTTCAGGGCTTAGGATTTCGGGCTCAGGGTTCACGGGTGAAGGTTTACGGATTTGGGTTTAGGGCTGGTTGGGTTCAGGGCACAAGGTTTACTGTTCAGGATTTAGGGCGCAGGGTCTGGAGATCACAGGTGGAAGGTTCAAGGTTCCGGGTCTACGCAGTGACTTTTTTTGGTACTGTAGGAATGAAAGGTGCAAGCAGGGTTACTTCACACGGATTGCAGGGGTTTTAAAGGGCATTGTGGGGGATCTATGGGCTATCAAGTTTTGTTTTTGGCAAGGGGGGGTTAGGGTACAGTATACGGACACGAACCTTCACACGTTGCTTAGAAGTTTCGGGTTAATTGAAACGCCATGCTTTACAGGTTTTGTATGCAGAGGGACCATAAAGGCCCAATAATAAATAAGGTTTGTTCATCAGGCGTGGCATTATAAGCCAGAATGACTGTAGTAGGGTTTGTAAGGTTGAGTGCACTATGGTATTGTTCTGTTTGGAGGGAGGGGGAAAGTCTTACCATTTCTGATTGCGTGAATGATCTGAAACCCCGAGACTTGATACCGAGTGTTTCGAATGTAGATTGCACGCGTAAGGATACTGGCCATTATATTTTCTGTAAGAGCCTGGACAAAGGGTTTTTTTAAGGTTTTGTATGGCTAGTTGCATAGGCACAGGGTTCCGCAAGGTTTCTAAGCAGACCCGTCAATAATCAACCCCCTATTTCTTCAATACCATGGAATCCAAGATCCGCATTACACTCCCATCATTGCCCGCTGGCCTTTCTAACCAATGCAAAGTTTAAGGCGACCCTAAACCCTGAACCCCAAAGCCTAAAGCCCAGAATGGCGTGGGGCTTTTGGGGTTCCTTCTTGCTTCCAAGTATTACAAAGAGTCTCGATGTCGGACGAATTTCGGTCTTCGCTTCGACCCAATCAAGCCCTGAACCGGCAGGACCTAAACCCTGAACTACTCACCCAAACCCGCAAACCCAAACTTTATTCTACCACGGAAGACCAGGTACACTTGAACCCTTAGCCTGTAAAGCCGCTTAGAAGAGCAGGTGATGTTTAAACCTTCATCCCTAGCCCCCATTCTGCACATTCTATTTGTTACAAAGTGAAGCCATAATGAGCCCTAAACCTTAAGTCCCAAGCTTTTAAACCTCTCAAATCCCGAACGCTAAAGCCTTTGGAGAAAGCAGGTGGGCCCGGTCCTTGTCAGGCCCGCATGGGGCAGTGGGGCAAGAGCCCGGGCGGTCTTGCTGGGCTCAGGGCATCTCAGGGCTTGAAGTTTGAGGGTACTGTTGAAGCATGAGTAAATACCGATGATTGTGCCTTGGCGTTCCTTATGAGCATTCTGCCATGGTGTAACCCAAAACCCACTCTGATGATTCAGGCCCCTGCAATACCGGAATCTTTGGGTTGAAGTTGAAGGGTTTTTTGGGTGGGTTTTGGCGGTTGCTTCGCCGAGGGGTTTGGGGGTTTTGGGGCTTAGGGTCAAGGGGCTGAGGGTTTAAGGTTTGGGGGTGTGGGTGCAAAGGTGTGAGGTTATGAAATGAGGTTTGCGGGTTTAGTGTTTTTTGTTCTGGTTTTATGGCTTATATTTTTACTTAGGCTTTCAGGATCGTGGGTCAAGGTTTTTGTGTATGACAACCTCTTGTAGACCCTACCCTTTCAACATCTTTCAACCCTGAACCCTGAACCGCAAACGCCGTACTAGTAAAGCACTTGATGTCCAAGGGGCTGTCTTCGTTGTCCGTGAAAAATGCATACCAGTCCGATACGATGGTTGCTGAAACAGTAAGATGCAAGGTTGCAAAGCCACTGTTGCTTGGGGCCTCAGAGGGTCGTAGTTTGGGTTTGTTGTTATGTGAGTGGTTAATTATGGTCCATTTTTGGGTACCCTATATATTGGGTGCCGTATTATAATAAGGACCCAACAAGGGACCCTAATTTTGACAACCACCTATGTGATAGTACTCTGCACCAACCCTTGTCTCTTCCTAAACTAGGGAGTTTCACACCTTCGTAGCGGTGAGAAAAGGAGCCCACACAAAAAAAAACGCCGTAAACTTTCGGGAAGGCCAAAGAGCCTGGGAGCATCAACGACGAAAACCTCGTGTCAGAGGAAGACGTTCGCAGCAGATGGGCAGCTTGGATGCAAAGTTGGCGAGTGGTGGCCAGTGTAGCAGCCGCTTGTGCATCTTCTCCAGCGCAGGCATACTAGACATAATAACCTTTTAAGCTATCCCAATTACCTACATTATCCTGGCCTTTGCCCAGGATTTGCGGACGCTTCTGGGCAAAGGGAGCTTCAGCGAAGTGAGGCTGTCCCAGCAAAACGGGGGAGCTTCAGAAACTAAGATACCGGGATTCTCAATACAAGGACTCCAAACACAGGTTGCTAGGATGCCCAGTAAAAGGACGCTTTCTTGCTGTGACACCCGACATCAGTTTTGCAACTCTAGACCCAGAACGCTAAACCCAACCCTAAAGCCGAAACCCTGAATTCTAACTGTTCTGCAGTTCGAAAAGGGCCCATACAAAAAAAAACTGAACCCCAACCGTGGCAGCCCAGCCCTTAGCCGCAGGTTGGGGATTCGAGTGGCTGGCGGCCAGCGGCAAGCTGTGAAGGCCTACGAAAATGGTATTAAGTAGTACCATAACGGCAGAATTACACTAACGTGTCTTATAAGGATACCATCAGGGTACTATCAAGCCTACTGTAAGGGTCTTGTACAAGGAGGGGACTATAATTGTACTTTGAGGGTAGTATACGTCACCGGAACGCGTGCTGGACATCGGTTCCTGGTGTGTTTCGGGCCACACCAGCACACAAACGTTAGAGTACTGAAACCTACGCCCTAGAGGGCTCCTTTAAGGAAGCAGGCACATAAAGAAAACCTGGTAGTTTCCTGTTTGCCCAGGAGCGTCTACGGGAAAACCATATAATTCTACCCAGACCGCATCCGTTCCCCAGGGCATCCATGGGCCAAAACCATGCTAACGTTTTTCCAGACCTCATCCGTTCCCCAGTGCATGCATGGGCCAAGACCGTGATAACGTCCACCCAGACATCATCCGTCCCCAGAGCATCCCTGAGGCAACCATGATAACGTCCACCTATATAGACCCCATCCTTTCCCCAGAGCATCCATGGGTCAACCGTGACGTCATCCCACCCAGGCCTCATCTTTTACCCAGAGCATCCACGGGTCAACAGTCACGTAATCCCATCCAGGGCTCATCCTTTCCCCAGAGCCCATGGGCCAAAACAAAAATCACGTCCATGAAGACCGCCAAAAACATAGTGGGTACCATTGAGGGTGCTTTCGTGGATGATGCTTTCGGTTGGATGAGCTGCTTTTGCAACGTCAAAAACATGTCGGCCAAGCTGAACCCGGAGCAAGATGTCTACGGCAACCGTGGCCATGCAACGAAGAACATCAACGGCAATGCCATGTACAACCTGAAGCACCCTTGGACCAAGACGGTGTGCGACATATTTCGCAGCATGGATGGCGACACCGTGACGGAAGAGATGGCCTTCGACGGACCAGCCTGTCGAACGAGGCGGCCCCGGCTGACACTCGTGAGCGTACCTAATCACCGCGTTTTGTGTCATTGTTGGCCTTGCGTATGCGCGCCATCGCCGCAAGCAGTTGGCGGTACAAGCGGCAGCAGCTGCTGAAGCTGCCGCTGCCGCGGCCGCTGAAGAGGCTGTACTGCGCAGGCAAGAAGCCGCTGCGGCAGCAGCCGCTGATCCTCCCGGAGGAGATGCCACAGTGGGAGATGTGGAGGGGGGGCTGAGCCTGGGGAACCACCATCTCTAGGGCCAGCCCCCCCCGGCAGCCAGTGCTGCAGAATTCGTTTTTGCATGTGAAAAGGGCTTTGTGAGCGGGGGTTTCCAGTTTTTTAGTATTTTTATTGCATTTGTTTCGTTTAGACAGGGCTGGAGGACCTAAACCCCCAAAGAACGGTAGGAACACATCTTGGAGTACCTTAAGCAACCTAAACCCATCATTATTGATGCACGACTTTTGTAATGATTGAAAAACATATTCAGTAATTTCGGCGTCTTGATGAAGGATTTGTCTGGCATTGTCGCCGCCCAGCTCTCCGAAAGTTCCAGCCGCGACCAGCGCATCTTCGGGAAGTTCTTGAAACCCGAGGAGATCAAGGAGCGCCTCGTGTCGGCGCTGAAGACCAGCACCCGCGGCACGGAGTTCCTGAAGCTGAAAATATTGCACTGGGAGAAGGCTCGCGTTTGGGGTCCGCAGGGCGAGGAGTTCCCCACGGGGAGGATGGACTTGCAGGGCTGCCAGTGCAAGCTCCGCGTGGAGCTGAGGCAGGTCGGGAGGGGTCGGATTTTCATATACATAGAATATATATGAATTAGTATTCTATTTGAGATTTCAGGAATATGTTGAATATTCCGAAAAAAAATCGACAGTTCAAAATCTGTTCCCCGTAGCATCTGTAGGTCAACCGTGAGCATCCATGGGCCAGCTATGATGACGTCCACGCAGACCTCGTCCTTTCCTCCGAGCGCCCATTCGCCAATTGTGATAACGGCCACCCAGACCACTTCCGCTCAAAAAGCCAACGGCACATGTTATAACGTATGGCTGGGACCAAATGCTGCTTACGCAAAATTTCGTCCAGGCTATGGCTTAGGATGTCCTTAAGGGGGGGTGGTCCAAGGGGGGTAGGTAACCTAGTAATCCCCATTATTCCCCAATACTCCCTAAGCTTCCCTAAGGTTCCCCAAAGCTCCCTAGTACCCTCCCCCCTTGAAACCACCCCCCCTTAAGGATCCTATAAATGGCTGAAATTTCATGATTCGTCTTGGTGGATGTTTCGACACTACCCTACACGTTCCTAGATCTCTGGTTGTCAGCTTAGCCAACGAATTCCGAACACAACGTGCTCAAAACCCGAGCAAACACATCTCGCATCCGTTAAGTCTCCACGTTTTTTGCGCACCTGCGACCTCCGTTCAAGGTCCCGTTTACGGTCCCTTTACGGCTCTTCGAAGGATTCGTTTGAGGGCCTAGAGCACTGGATCCAACGACAGTAGAGTAGAGGTTATCTTCAATGTTTTGTTCTGGGGTGCTGTCTCGGGGCTCCAATGTCCTGGCAGGGACCCGGGGTGTTTCGGCGTGCTGAAGTGGGCAGGTCTCTAATTTTTGTGCCGTTCGGGCGTTTGTTTCCAGATTTGTGTTGTCTTTCCAGGATCCAGAGTAGCACACCAGTTTATGGATTGCCCATGTGGTACTGCACATGTGCATCTGAGCAACAGTTCCAGTCGAGCTGTCCCTAAACCCTAAACCTGTAAAACACAAGCGGCAACTGCCGGAGGTGGTGAACCGCAGCGGCTTCGAGTCCTTCCAGTCCAGCCGAAGGAGCCGGCGCGGATCTTGGCTTCCTCTGTAGCGACTGCCCTTTTCATTACCGCAGAGACATGGAGCACATAAGCCCTGCCCTGGACCCGAGGCTCACCTCGTTTTACACCTTAAAGGCCCTAAAACCTTAAACCCCGAAGGCCCTAAACCCTAAAACTAGGTAACGGCGCCTGTAGTGCGCCCTGTGTTTTCGCACATTGGTTGTTCTTGCACATTGCCAAACCCCTGGGAAAGCGCAGTATTCCCAGCAGAACGCATGCAGTAGGAGGGCCCCAAACCCTGAAACAGACTGCATTTTTAGAGGTTTACAGTGCTAAAACCCAGGTCCGGTTGCGTTTTGCGCGCAAAACCCAAAGGAAACTTGTCAGGCTTTACACTTCTGGCAGAGGCCGGCCAAAGCAGCATACGGATCCTTCTGGACTCGTCGCCACTGGAACTGGTAAAGGTAGGACCACAAACCCTTCTGGTTGATGGGTTTTTGTGTTCCTTTCTTTTTTTTGGTGAAGATTGTTTTGGGGATGCTGGCTTTCACATGCTGCCATGTCCTATCTATCTGTTGTGTCTGCGGCACTGGATGGAGTCTGATCTGGATGTTATCATGCTTGGCACCTGGACTGTGCAGAGTCTGATCTGGACGTTATCATGCTTGGCACATGGATGCTCTGCGGCACTGTGTATAGAGTCTGATCTGGACGCTATCATGCTTGGCACATGGATGCTCTGCGGGAATGAAGTCGGGAGGCAGCGTTTCGGAAGCCGCCCAGATCATTGTAGAATAGTTGCCCGCTTTTCCGAATCAGGAGCAAAGCAAAAAGAAGCAAACTAATCCAACGCAGATCCATGGCCTACCGAGCCAGGGCCTGTGCACTACGGAGCCAAGTGTCTCGCAGGCATGACGCTGCATTGTTACATGAACGTGATTACCTCCCCGCCCCCCACCCCCCCCCATCCCTCCGAAAACCTTGAAAACCTCTAAAAGTGCCCTGAACGCAGGGCAGGGCGCGTTAGGGGCGCTGTCACCTAAAACTACCCCTAAACACCAAAGGCCATAAACCGTAAAACAAACCCTCAACCCAAAAGGCCCTACCCCCCCAAAAAAAAACGCCAAAGGCCCTAAACCCTAAGACTTCAACTTGCAGTGATGAGCCGTCGAGGCTCAACTTGGTGAGTGAAGCAAAGCTGCTGCTCAGCTTGGACCATCCAGGCCACTGTGGTCACAACCCCTAAACTTACCTTTGGTTAGTAGGGACTGGAGGAAGGGGGTGCAGTTATAATTAGTATTACTACCATTCTTACATTCCCTACTAACCAAAGGTAAGTAAAACCACAGACGAGCAGATTTGGCTTCAGAAAGTCATGGCCAGCAAACTACAGAAAGTCATAGAGCAGGAGCACAGAGGTCGTATCCAGACGGATTGCATTCTGTGTTCTACTCATCGCCACCCTGCAGGCGTGGTCAAGTGCAGCGAGTGGTTCCAAACTACGACGAGCCTTTACCTGGCAGCTGCCTCAGGTTTTCGGATTTTCTTTGACTGCCCTGGAGAACTCTGCGTTAGGGATTTCATATATATATATATATACTATTTTGGTGGTTCCTTACGATGATCCCTTACTATGATTGTAGTATAATGGGCCCCAAAGCTAGAGAGGGTTTCATCTGACCCAGGAAAGGCTTCCCGTGGGCTTAGAGGGGTTGGAGGATTCTTCATCCATGGAGCCAGGGACACCGAAGTTACTTTACAGAACTCCCCCAATTCGGGGCCACAAGCCTGAGGTAATGGAGCTGGTGGAAGGGGGTGACCTGCTCAAGAACATCATCAACAATGGCCGAGGGCCTCAGATCAAGTGAGATGCCTTAGGAACGTTAGGGCTTCAGAGCTCGGGTTTTTGCTCTAATCAATGCACACCAGAAGCTTCTATGGACATGCGAGCGTCCTAACACTGGGGTTATCTGCTTCAGGGCTTCTTCGTCCAAGCACGAGAATGCTGCTTTTGGAACTTGCAGCGGCTTCTGACAGTAGCAGCTGAACAGCTATTGCTGTGAGTCTGTGAGCCATAGAAATGTGTTGTCCAAGCCGAGAACGCCCTATTGTGTCGTTATAAGCGTTTGCGAAATCAGCAAGCTCCACGTATACTTCTATGATAGTAAAGCCCTACACCTTATTCAGCCATGCTCTAATTGTCAAAGCGCCGACATCGACAATGTTTGGCTTCGAGGGCTCAGCATCACCAGGCTTGCTACCGGGCCATCCGGTGGAAAGCGCTCCAAAACCGTCGGAATACAATACCCTAAACAGCAGGATCCATTTTTATAAGGACCCCAAAATAAGGTACTATTCCAAGGGCGCGGAGGGGTCAGGCACGGGATGCAGATCGCAGGGCATGTGCACCAAAAGATGACACCCCAAAATACTTTGTCATAGCTGGGTAACATTTTACCTTTTCGTGGGTACTTAAACCCAATAAGGAATAAAATGTAGATTTTTAATACTATCCCAACAATGATCTGCAAAAACCCCAAGCCCCTAAGGCGGGCCTCAACCCACAAATCCTAAAGCCCCAAACCTCTTAAATCATCGAAGCAGATCGATCCAGGTGCGTTTTTGAAGCACTTCCTATGAAAGGTCTACGGCACAAGCACCCTGTTTAGTCGTCGAGAGCGGACACTCTCAACTCTCAAGGCAGAATGATGGTTATATTATTGGCCAGGGTTCTGATTGATTAGTTATACCACTCTAGTGCAGCATGCTTGCTGTACTCCACACCCTATCTTCATTACAGTTTAGGGTTTAGGGATTAAGGACCTATACTCATACTCCAAACTTTATCTTCATGGTAGTTTAGGGTTTAGGCTTAAGGACCTCATTACAGTTTCTGGTTATCTGCCTTATTATAGCCAGGGTGTAGGGTTAAGGACCTTAGTCATGAAGGCTAACCACCGCAGCCCCGTGCCCGGAGCTCTGAAGGCGAGTTCTGTGAGGATCACGCTCGGCGGCTCTTTCGCGATATCTCCGAGGCCGGCGTGCACGGGGTGAAGCTACCCCCCAGAGGGTCCAAGTAATGTAGCAACCTGGGCCTATAACCCCAAAATAGTAGGGTTCATATAAGGAGCCCTAATCAAGGCCCAAGGTTTCTCAATCAGGTTCCTACATTACCCGAGTGGTAGGGTTTCAGCCCCCCAAAATCCGTACTCTGAATGGGTTTTTGAACCTTGAAGCTCTACTGCTTGGGCACTTGGACCCTTGTACACCGGATTCCCAGCTTCAGGCTTTCTGTAGTCATACGGCGCCCTAAGCCCGACAACCTGAGACCCGACATTGAAGTAGCAGGAGAGCATGCCGGCAAGCGAGGGGTCCAGATGCCTCAACTTATCAATGGTTTCGGGTTTAGGGACTTATTAAGGTTCCTGAATACAGTTTCAGGTATGTTCCTTGAAGACGTTTTGGAGGCCCTGGGAAGCAGATTTGCTCGGGACAGCAACAGAATTCAGACGCCTCGGATTGTTTGAAGATTGGCAGCCTTCGCTGCGGAACCAAAGGAAAATGGCTCGGATCGAGGAGTGCGATGAGAACAACTTGCAATGCCTGCACACATGTCATTGGTCCTGCGGTCTCAGCCATCAGTAGCACCTGCATCCCCCGTTACAGTGATGTAACCCCCTCCAAACCCTGTTCGACTAAGTCAGGCCTCCTATGGGGACACCTCATGGCGTCCTGCAGTCCGTTTCGTCGCATATGCTGCACAGTGCAAACGCATGCGCAATCTGTACAGCCCCGCGAAATCCGATTTTGCAGGCCGTTGCATATCTCCACAGCCGTGATGTTGTACACAGGCCGGCTTTAACTTGTGCACACTGGTTCAATTCACGCGTATGGGCTTGCAGTGAGTAGATCTCCCGGTGCCTTCTTACATGCAAAAGCTGCTGAAACTGAAATGAAGCCTCCGTGCAGGGATTTGAAGCCCGACAACGTCCTCCTCACGAACGAAGACAGGTCTTCCCGTCCCTTTGGAGAGCGAGAGAGCGCGTGAGAAGAGGAGATGCAGGAGTTTTGGAGTCAGGGCTTGAAGGTGCAGCCCCAAGTGGGGGGCATGTTGGTCTCTCTGACCTTATCTGACCTTGCTTTCCTCAAGAAGGGCGCGCAAGATTTGGGTTCATGATGCGGAGCTCCATGGGTTGTCGGCAACTCGTGACTGCTTGGGGTCACAATACTTCGCGGGGGAAGCCATCGCCGACTTGGAGACATCTGTCAGTTCTACTCCTGTTCAAGACCTGACTGATGCAATGGCATATGCTGGAGTGCCAGTGTGACGATGCTTGGAGAGAGGGCTGCATTTTTTTCCTCACTCTCAGGTGGCGCTGTGTGGATTCTTGTGCAGCTGTGCGTGCGTGAGATGAGACACAGATGTCCAAAGACACTTGGGATACTGGCTGTCATTGCATGGGTTATTGATTGTGCCTTGATCAGTCTTGTCTTGCGTAACTCGGGGCCCTACCCACCGGGAGTTGGCTGCACCTACATCAACTCTCGGAACACCGCTGGCCGGGTGTGAGGGCATATGAGATGCCAGCATATCAACCGAGTACGTCGCAGGGCCGCTTGACGGACCGCCGCTTGGTTGCCCTTTGTCCAGGTGCAGGACATGACAGCAGCACGGGGGTAGCGTGCCTGCTGGGGGACGGCAGATCATGGCAGGGGAGGCCCGCTCAAAATTGGGAGACAGCTCAAGAGCACTTCGTCTGCATGTATGCGTGGCTGTTGTATGGTATTTGGTGCTGTCAGGGTCGTGTGCATTGTGTATGAAATCGTGGTTGGTTTTTGTGAGTGTGTACCGCTTTCGCTGTGTGTTTGTGTAGTTACCGTGTAGCTGTATCTTTGCCAAGGTTTCCGTATGTATTGTGAAAGAAGAGCCGACAAGACAAAATGCTTCAGCGCGCCTCATGTGGTGTTTTGATTGGGCACATGTCATAGAATCTAGGGACACACGCACCATAACCCTTAACGTCATATGCGGACGCTGCAATAGGCACAGGGTTATAGTATACTTTCCAGACGAGACCACGAACCGGCACACCGAGACGCCCTATGCTGTTAGCGCAGTTCATGTCGTTTGCGTCCGTGCTTAAGCTTAGTCTGCCATGCACATGTGCTAATTGTGGACACCGAACATTGGTACTGAGCTGCGGATACCACGTTCCCTCATGCCCTCGCTACCTTGCCGCACCTTGCCACATGTGCACAATGCCGCTTGGGACACTGGCTGTCATTGCATCGGTTATTGATGGTGCCAAGTCTTGTCTTGCATAACTCGGGGCCCTACCCACCGGGAGTTGGCTGCACCTACATCAACTCTCGGAACACCGCTGGCCGGGTGTGAGGGCATGTGAGATGCCAGCATATCAACCAAGTAGGTCGCGCGTCGGGGAGGCGGTTTGCCCCACGACACGCCACTTGGTTGCCCTTTGTCCAGGTGCAGGACATGACAGCAGCACGGGGGTCGCGTGCCCGCTGGGGGACGGCAGATCATGGCAGGGGAGGCCCGTTCAGTCACGGAGTCACGGAACTCCCAAGCCCTAAACACAAACCGAAAAACTCTGAACCCTAAGCCCTCAGCCCCATCATAACCCCTAAACCCTAAACCCATTATTCGTTATAACTATACCCCCCCAAACCACGAAACTCCGGACCCTTCGCTTCCCCTTTGGATCAGGTCCCGCTGCGCACCAAAGTTGGCAGACCTGGGCCTGGCCCAGCTCAACGCGCCCCTGGGCTTCCCCTTTTGGGGGGGTTTAGGGTTTATATAGGTGTTTAGGGGTTTAGGGTTTAGAGGGTTTAGGGGTTTAGGGTTTAGGGGTAGAAAGTTTTAGGGTTTAGGGTTTAGGGGTTTAAAGTTTTAGGGTTTAGGGGTTTAGGGGTTTCCCTCATAGGAGGCCAAGAGGGGCTTTAGCCTATGGGGGTTTAGTAGGGATTAGGGTTCCCATAGTGGGGGTTCATATTAAGGAATCCCTACCCCAAGAATCTTAAACCCCCCTTCTGGCCTCCCATCATTCCCCTTTTGGGGCGTTTGTGAGAGGCTTATAAAAGGTTTTATAATATGAGGATTTCGGGTTTTTGGGGGTTTTCGGGTGTTTGAGGGTCTGGAGTTTCTGGGTTTTGGTTTTGTTGGTTTCAGGCCTTGGGGCATCTAGGGCTCCAGAATTTAGTTGGTCATTTAGGGCTTTGCTGATCTTGGGCTTTAGGGTTAAATGTGTTCTTGTGGCGACATTAACAGTGCGAGTAGGAAGGAACTGTCGAAGTTGCCTGAACCGGGCGCGATAGAGGTCGGAATACCCCAACCATATTCCGAATAGCTAGGCACCGGTTTCATGTTTGAAACATGTCCATATACTGTGGATCTTTCCACAGTTAATTGCCTATGTCAATTTCCCTGGCAACCAACGCAAAGTAGCAACACATTGCTCATTGCACCATTTTGTGTTTGTCTTACCCACAACGTCATGCCGGACTTCCTGCAGATGTGCTTACCCCAAGCTGTAGAAAAGGAACAGTGGTAAGACCAATCACAACAACAGAACAGGAGGTCAAGAGAAATCGGAGTAATGCAAGTGAAAAGTGTGCAACACGAGCTTCGACACTCAAAGAGACCGCCAGCCCAAAACCTCAACCCTGAACCTGAAACCTGCCAAGGAGATCCACTGATTCGCGGACATTCTGTGGGACGCCGCACTACTTTGCTCCTGAGGTGATCAGGCCCGGATTCTGGGAGAGGCTTCGACAAATTCGGCCGCCGATTAGGGTCTCAGGCTTGGGGACATGAGAAAGCGCCGGAATGCGCCCCATACCTGAAACCTTATAGCCTTGCTTACGTAACCACCCCCCTTCAGCCTTGAGGCAGGCCGATGCCGATGCGAAAGGGGAGTTCTCTGAACGAGAATGCCCATGGGGGTGCTAAGCAAGCGTGGCGTGTGCTTGTCGGAGATCCAAACAGGCACGCCTCATTTAGAGAAGTACTCACATGCAACCTCCACGCGAGGCAATGGCAAAGCTCGGCGTCCGCTGTTGATGACACCCCCGGGTATGGGAAGAAGGCGCAAGAACATGCCCAACTGCTGATAACAGGAGAAGCGTTGTGTTGTTTGGACTGCCTGTTCTTTGCGGCTTTAGGGTTGAGTGCTTCAGGGTTTCAGGGCCGGAGTAAGAGATATTTTATATATTTATGTATGTCTGTATATATTTCAGGGCCGGATATATACACATATATATATATATACATATATATATATATACATATATATATATATATGTACTTATACTGTTACTATTGTGGAGGTTTCTTTTGTTTTGAAAGTATAATGGCCCCAAAACCTTATTCTAATTATTAAGGCCCCTGGAGTACAAGCCTTCTCCTCATCAATCCGGTTGGGGTCCAAGCGTGTGTTCAGATATGGCGCTGCGGGAGTTGTGGGTGTAGGGCTGTGGGCGTTTAGAAACACCGAACGGGTCGACCGTAAACCCTAGGACCTAAACACTAACACCGAATCCCTACACCTTGAGCCACACACCCCAAATCTCTAAACCCTAAATCCGAGAATGCGAGCTTTAGTCGAAGTATGTCCGCCTCAAGCCCTCAGAACAACCCAGACAACACGTGCCAGGTCGACATTTGGAGTCTCGGGGTTTGGCTCTCAGTGAAGTCCTCTCGCTGCTCGGAGCCGGCTCTTGAGCCTGAGAGCTCTGCTGCAGTGCTAGTTTTGGGGGGCACCCCTACAAGACCTAGAACCCTGCACCCGGAAACCGAAATCCGTGAAGGAGGTATGAATATAGACCCCAAAGCGCTAAATCCTAAACTCCGAAGAAGCGATGTTAAATCCCAAGCCCCAAAGCCCTAAAAGAGGAAATCCTAAACCCTACCTAAACCAAAACCCCGAAGCCTAACGTTGAAAGCCACCAAGAGAGGTGCTCCTTTATGTCGTCTTGAGCGGCTCTCCTCCGTTTGAAGACGAGGGCCTCTACGAGCAGATTCTGCAGGCCAATCCGCAGACATGAAGTTCAAAGGGGAAAAGGAGGGACCCTTAAACGAGGACCCCTACATACCCTATAATGGGGCTATATAATGGGTATATAGTAGCTATATTAAGGGTATATACCTAGGGGCCCTTATTAGGGGTCCCTCCTTTTACCCTTGGAGAAGTAGCAAAGATACGTGTAGTACGAGATAGTATGGTACAACACTATTCTTGAAGTCCAGCCCCCTACCACAGGGGCCTTAGGAAGTTGAAAGTGGTTTTGGTGTAGATTATGAGGTAGACTCTGGATGTATCAGGGGTTTGCGGTATATAATATACTAAAATATTAGAGCAATAAGACACGACAGGAACTACACAGTAGGGGCTTACATGATGACTCATGGATGACGAACAGAATCCCTTTGGTCCATACAATACTACTTCTACAAATCTGCCCCCAAGTTGTAGTTGCTAAGCCAAGGCCCCATAGCACTTGAAAGGCCGACCCGCCGTGACACAAGTTTCAGGGTTTGGGACTTGAGGGTTTTAATTCAGTGTTTATGGGCTTGAGGGTTGAAGGGCTTAACGGCTTAGGAGGTAGGGTTTAGGATGTAAGTGCTGGCAGTTCACGAAGAGCAGTCTCGTCATCGCCTTTGTGCATGTTCTTTCGTGCAGGGCCGCTACGAATTTGATGCTGAGGACCTGCATGAATGCGCGAAACTCTGAGTGGTGCAGGTCATGGCTGCAGACTGCTGTGACATCTAGACCAGATAGCATCACGTCCGTTGCCTGTGAGCGATGCCAGTGACTTCGCCGTAGTTTGCCTGCCTTCCAGGTGAGCTACCTGGGTTTGGAGTACCATACTTGAATCCTTTTTTTCGGGTACCTCTTCCTTAAAGGAACCATTATGGCATAAAAAGTCTATAGATTTTTCTCCCTGGTTACTTCAAAGTCCAGGCTAAAACCTAAGCCCCTCAGCGATGTGCTTTGCAGGAGTGGGGCAGCATCTCCGCCGAGGCAAAGAACCTCGTGGGCACCCTGCCAGCAGCTACCGTGCACATGGGTGTCAAAATATGGTCGCTTTTTGGGTCCCTATTATAATATGGCACCTATTATTCAGGGTACCCGCCAAGGGACCCTAATTTTGCCGACCACCCACATGCTGGTAGTTTAGGGTTGAGGGCATAGTCTCAGCTAACTCAAGGTAACCTCCGTCTGTCGTGCTGATGCAGTTGGACTCGAGGTGCATTCTGCAGTCAGTGTCCTAACCCCCAAATCCAACGCCCCAACCGTAAACCCTAATTCCTAAACCCCAAATCCTACGCCCTAACCGTAGACCCTGTACCCTAAACTTTCTAAATCCCAAGTCCTAAGCCCAAAGACCGAGGCTCGCTGATGACAGTGGACTGCAAGAACAGGCTCGGCTTCATCCTTCCTTGTTTAGGGTTAGGACTTGGGGTTTACGGAAGTTTAGGGTTTAGGATTAGAGTTTTTGAAAATAGGGGACCCCAATATCGTACCCGAAAAAAAAAGATACGTATTATAAGTACCCCAGAATGAGGTACCCCGAATGCTCGGAAACTCCTATTTGGGGTTTAGAAAGTTTAGGGTTTAGGGAGCTTCATCCTTCCTTCGCGGGGGGGGTCCCTGGCTCTGGGGGTTTGAGAGTAGTTTCCGATACGATGCCGTGAAGTGTGGGGTTGAGAGGGACACTTGCAACTGTCATTCTGCACAGAGGGGATAACGTTGTTGAGTTCGTTCATATAAAGTGCATATTATTACAGGATAACCTCACGCTCCTATTCTGGTCCTTGAGGCCTCTCTATTGGTCACCCTTACGCCTTTCTTTTGGGGGGAGTCTCCCTATCACAACTGGATCAAAGGACGATGGGCAGACTTTTTCGCAAAGACGGCCGGGGGGCCTTCAGGGCTTTAGGGAACCTTCAGGGTTTTAGGGTTCAAGGAAACCCTAAACCCTAAAACCGGGTTTAGGGTTTAGGGCCAGATGTTCCTTTCGTCGGGAACTGCAAACCCCAGCCCTAGTTGCACCCTAAAGCGCAAACCCTGAGCCCTAAACCTTGTGAGCCCCGGGGGTTTGATTTTCGCTTTCCGCACCGCGGATTCTACCAACCAACCGGCAGGTGGAAAAAGGCGTTTAAAAAAAAAAAAAAACCTCAAACCCCAAAGCCCAAGCCCTGAACCCTTGACTTAAGCCCTAGACCCCAAACCCAAAACCCTATAGACATAGATCCCTTTAAAGGAACCCCTTCTAGATCCTTCAAACCCCGAACACTAAAACCCTAAATCCAACACCCGAAGCTTTTAACTTTAAGTCCGAAAGCCTCAGCTCGGCTCCCCCAAGCCAAGCTGCTTGAGTACTATAGGGACCGTATTAATTGGAATAGGGTTTTGGGTCCATTATATACCATAGCTATAATAAGGAACTACCAAGAGTATACGGAATTATTAAGGCCCCTATAGTATGTTCTCTCGAACTATAGTCCCTTTGGGTCTTTTAATCTTGTTCATATAAAACCCATGAGAGCATCGACAATACCATGTTTATTATGGTTCTAAGGGGGGGGGCCTGTAGGGCTCAGGGCTTGGCGCTAGGATTTTAGGGGAATGGAGTTTTGGGGTCTAGGGATAGGGCGTAGGGATTCAGGGTTCAGGGATACGGGTTTAGGGGTTTGGGTCTAGAGTCAGCAGGCCGGGCATCGGCACCGTGTTGGCCCATGAATGGCTGCACGAGCTTGACGTCGGTGAAAAGAAACGATGCACAGACGGATGGATAGACCGTTGGACCGATAGACGGGTTGACGGATATCTGAGACGATAGCCAGCTAGCTAGATAGGCAGGCAGATAGGCTTGTAGATGGGTAGACAGGTGGACACGCAGATAGCTAGACCGATAGATAGAGAGGTAGAGATGGAGACAGATAACTGAAATTGGCATCCATGTCCTCGTGTTCATGTTTCCTTGCATCGGGTCATCTTGCTCATTGCTGCGCATGCCCAATGAGCCACGCACAGCACAGCTCAGAAGCAGTCGACTGAGATTGTTTTTTCTTGTTATGGTTGGATTGACAACCAACGTGAGGACGCGATTTGGCTTGGGTGTTTCACCCCCCAGTGTGCGACCTTACATGAAACACCCTACACTCTGAACCTGAAATGCTAGACTCAGAATCCTTGAGCTTAGGCCATAACCCCCAAGCCGTGAATTTTGGACCCTTACAACCTAAGCCCTGAATCCTCGCATTCTGGATTTAAGCGTCGTGCCCAAGAGCATCTTGCGGTCCTCGGGTGTTCAGGCTGCAAGCGCGATCCATCAGCAAGACAAGGCAGAAGAACAATGAGGTTTTGAAATGTATGGCTGGGGTTTTGAGGGTAGGTTTTTCGGCTTAGGGGTTCAGGGTTTGGCTCCGAAAAACAAGCTGCAGCTATCCAGCTGCAAACATGCAGACCTGTAATGAGGTTTGTTTTTGGGATACATTGCGTGGTTGCAGGGTCAATCGGCAACTTGATGCCGCTTCTATGCTCAAAAAGAGAGTCGTTTGTCTGAGAAACCGGCGCTACAAAAGTAGACAGCGCAGCTGGAATCACAATCTGTTTATATACTAAGTTTACTGCCACAGGTTATTATCGTTAATAGTAATTAATTTCATCATCGTATTCATAACCACCAGAATCATAGCATTAAGGCTTGGTCTGGCACATCTGTTTCAAAACCTGTCGACTCGACAGCAACCTTGCAGAGCACGGCTTGCTTGCAGCATAGTAGGATTTGGGGTTTAGGGGCATAGCTGTAAGGCTTTGCAAGGTAGATTGTGAGCAGTTGTGCATGGACTTGGGCGGCCGGCGACAAGATGCGCCGAGTCGCGACACGGTGGCATCGATCAGGAAACGTGAAAGTAGTCGAGTCCCTGCGCGGGTAGTCGCTGCCCAGCGCAGCCATAGTCAGGTCGCGAGCGCAATCGTGGCAATTGCGACCATTGCAGCAGCAAAGGCCCGGCGAAAGTAGTTGACACAACACTGACGCGTGGTTTGGTACGACAATGTGGAGGGATGCGCTCGCGTCCCGCCCAGGGTCCGACAGCTTTTTGTAACAACTCATGATGCATCAGCCAGCAAACCCGACAGATTGCATGCACCAGCCATCCGCAAGACACCTCATCCTACTTACCTTTGGCAAGTAGGGAATGGAAGGATGGTAGTAATAGCAGTTATAATTGTACCCCGTTCCTCCATTCCCTACTAACCAAAGGTAAGCCTAATCCCAAGTTGTGGAAGGAGGCTGAGGTCCGCCTCGTGGTCGTGCGAGTCTCAGCTGCTCTGCCTCTGCGGCTGAGATGCGGTCTTGTCTTGTCTGCCTCAGGAGTCGCAGGGCTCCATCAACCCAAAGCTCATCAGAACTCACAGCGACGAAGGCCCCTTGATCCAGATCCAGCCAAGTCGAAGTTGCATGGCCCGGCAGCATCTGATATCGAATGAAGCAAGGTGACCGCGGCCTTCCACTATGCACCGGCCTGCAGATCTGCAACGGCACTCAGCCCTGTTTGAACAGAGTCAAGAACGAAGCCTGCACGGAGAAACGCGCATTCCCGCGGCCCTGAGCCTGCCAGGTCGGGATGCCTCCGATTGCTCAGCAGCGCCTTTGTCAAGAAGAACTCTTCTTTCCGCTGCAGTTGCTGTCGGATCCAGGGATGTTCAAGGCTTGTAAGGTTTGCGGTTTAGGGCTGCTGCGTTGGGGCGTCTTCTTGTTCAACTTGGCATGTTTCAGCTGCCGCCAGAGGCCAACAACGGCGACTGTGGCCAGAAATACTGCTGCAGCAAGGGTCACCCATGCTACCAATGCTTCTGAGCTGAGTTTGAAGTCTCTCCATGCCCAAGTGGTAGAGAGATGGGCCACGAATCGAAAAGCTCCAGGGATGAAAGCGCCGCTGGATCCCAGGTTCTGGCGATGGATATGACTGCAGGAACAGTGGGGCCTGCAAGAATCCGAATGGTCATGGAATTTGACGCACTCGTGCTGTCACCTGAGTTGCTAGCCTGCCCAAAGCATTGCGGCAGTAACATCAAGACTTGCTGTGGATGCTGTGGTCACCGCTGGTGTCAAAATTCTGCCATGCGTGCCTGTTCGTCTTGCTCTAGTCAGTGCCATTCCCAGAACCTTGTAGAGCGAAGCATTGCGGGAAGCTTTTTTAGACACTAGTCCCGGATGATTTTCTGCACTGCACCTCTTCTACATGCACTTGAGTGCCCCCGTGTGGCAGGGCTGCAGGTTTGGGCTGTGATTTTGAGAGATGTTTGGAGCCGTACACCACTGCTGGATGCTGCCCAGCCACGCAGCCACTGGCCACCTAGCATGCTCGCAAAGAGATGCTTTCGCAAGTCGATTGGAGAGTCGCCAAGTCAGGCACTGCCCTTGGCCTATCACTGCCTTCGTGAACACAGAGATGCGATTCCTGGGAAATCCTGGGAGCGTAAAGCCTTAACGACGTAACATCCTACTGCTAACCTTAACCTGAAACCCCAAAGCCCAAGAACCCAAAGCTCTAAAAAGAATCGAAGCCAAAACCCTGAAGTGCCGCTAGCCCTCCTGCCGTCTGTGGGGGCGGCATGGCACGCGATGACGGCAGTTTGGCAGCGGCATGCCAAGCCGTGGCGGCCTTGGATTTCTCGTGAAGAGAGCATGCGCTGAGTAATGTAGGGGCCTTAACAATCAGAATAGGGTTCTGGGGTTCTTTACTATGATTATCGTATAATATGCCCCAAAACCCTGTTCTAATTATTAAGGCCCCTACATTAACCTGCTCTCAAGCAAGGCACTCCATGTAAGAATGCCACGCACCAGGTGCAACTGGGTTTGGACAGCTCTCGCGTCATTGCTACCGATAGCCGACAGCCATGTCTAATCGATGCAGTGCATGCTGGCTGTTTGCCCGCTCAGTCACTCCTTCACACCGGAACCGATTGAATTGAAAAGTATCTTGAGCATGAATTTCGGCAAACCTCTGCGGACTCGAAAGGGGCTCCTCTGTTCCCAACCGACCACAAGCAGGGAGGGCCACTTCGGGCGCTTTTTGTTCCCTGATGCGTGGAGATGGAATTCGCCCGGCAAGTAGCAAGACAGCCACAACTTCTGCAGTTCTCATCGTACTCGGACTGTGGAGTAGGCAAAAGCAGTGGCAGCGGCAGCAGCAGCAGCAGCAGCAGCAGCAACATGATGAGTAGGTATCGTGGGGTTAGTAGTCGTCAAAAGCAAAGTTTCTCAGCGTAATCAGCTTTCTCCACAGGTGGAGCTCTTCTCTTAGTCTTGCACTCGGGCTGAGGACTACGAGGAAATGGCGCGGCTCCTTGCGTGGGGCGCTTGGCATTGAGTGACTCAGCGTGGTCGTGCCTGTTGCTCGACGGCATCCCGCAGTATCCGAAACGAGCGGAGTGAGTAGTGTCAGTGTGTATTTCCGACTACAGAGAACCTAGGACCTGAGTTTTTGTCCATGAACAGGGTCTCTTCACCGAACCCCCCAAACTCAGCCCAACGAAGGCACTCAAGTGGTCCATTTTTTAGCAGTCGCATTGCTTTGCCCCATAGAATTCCTATCAAAGCCCCTCCTGTTCCGACGATTATGAGTCCTCTAACCAAACACTCATAAAGCCCCATAGGATTCCTATAAAAGCCCCTCCTTGTGTTTTGGAGGACTTGCCACCGGAGCCGCGTCCGCAAAGAACTTCTGCGCTGGCTGGAAAGACGCCAGGCCGGACTTGCCGACATCGAAGCTACAGGTGGGATTCACTACTACAGGGGCCTAAGTAATTGGGGGGGGGGGGGGTCCTTATTATCAGTATAGTATAATGAGTCCCCAAACCCTATTCTAATTATTAAGGCCCCTATATTCTGTATTATGGGGGGGCCTTGTGATTAAATCAAGGATTTTGGAGTAGAGCTTAGTACAGTATTACCATCATCAGGAACCTGAAGCTCAAACGGCGAGGTTTGTAGGGCTGTCGATGGGCTTTTCGGCTGTTAATTTGGAGTTCCGGACATCCAAGCCGTCTTTCGGTTTCAGGGGTTATCGGGCTTAGGTTAAAGGGTTCAGGCTCCCTTCAAAGCTTCCTGTAAAGGGCTTCGCAAGTGTTGCTGCAGAGCTTTTTGGTGCGGTATTGTGGGAGCCTCGACTAGGGTTCTTAAGGGGTCAAGAGTGGGCACCATGAGGATTTAGGGTTTAGGGTGTTTATGACACGGGGCCGTAATAATTAACATAGAGTTTTGGGTGGCATTCTACAGTTAATATTTATAACAAGAAACCCAAAAAAGAAGCACTCACCACAAGTAAGCATTTAGGCCTCTATGTTAGGGTCCTGGGACTGATGGCCTGGGGTGTTAGGGTGTTGGGCGTTTAGGGTTTAGGGAGTGCTGTATATTCTCACACGGTTTTTCAGGGCTTCATGGGTTCTATGAGGATTTTCGGTAGGGTGATACCGATACTCATATGAGCTGTTTTTTCGGTTTCTTTCACGTTCTATGACGATGTTAATAAGGGCTTGAATGCAAGGGGTTTGATCAAAAAACGGGGCTTGATGTCGGAGGCTGAAGTAGACCTGCGCTTGAGAAACCTCGGGCCTCGCTTAATATTAGGATCCATATTCTTATGCTTCTTGACAGAGAGAGAGGGGGTTATATGAGTTAGAGGCCGACATCGGGTTTAGATAGGGGGATAGTGTTTGGGGTTCATGAGTTGAGGGTTTGGGGCTTGAGGTTCAGAGAGACGGATGGAGTTTCGATGCTCTCATCTGCTCTTGTGTTGAAGACGCACTGTATGCAGGATTGGGGGGAGGCGGAGCGGTGCATGTAAGAACGTGGGCGAATCAATGCTACAAAGCAGGAGACCTGTAGCTACAGCAAACAAGATACGAGCAAAAGCTGCCAGGTGTATGTGGGGTTGTTAAGGAACTTTTCATTCGAAACTACTCAAACACCTTTGTAAAATATACAAGATAAGAGGAGTATCGCCAGGCATGTTGGGATCAGTAGCTAGCGCTTGCCTTGTCAAAAGAAGCTACGCAGAATTAGTCAGCGACGACATGACAAAGGCAAGATAAAGGATGTAGGGTAGGCGCGCACCTTGCTCTGGCTAGTGGGCACGCAAATCAGGATGCCGCTGAGATGGCTTCTCTCTTGTCGTCATGAGCTCGGCCCGCCTGGTGTGTGCTTGCTGCTGACAGTCGTGTTGCTGGAAGGGGTCTTATGCTACATGCCTATTACAGCCCATGGCCAGACACCCTCAACACCCCAAGACCCTCACCACGAACCCCTAAGCCCCATAAAAGCAGACCCTGACGCCTCAGACCAAATACCCTACAAGTCCAAACGCTCAGAAGCGACATCGCGAAGATGTCAAGACAAGCATTCCGCTGAATCACAACCCCGAAACCCTCACGGCCTAAGCTGACCCCAGTTAGTCCCTTGATCACTCACCTTCTCACAAACCTTCCAATCCTGGATCTTACTTCGAAACACTACCAAAGCCTTTCTAAAACCCTCTTAAAGTCCGACTCTTGCAACACCACCCATCCAAAAGCCTAAAACCGTATATCCCCAAACCTACAAACAATCATAAGCCCTCATCTCCAAAACACCCAAACCCCGAAAGCCCCAAACCCTCAAACGCTCACGTAGTCGTAGACCATTACCTGGAATACTCTCATCCCTATAAAGGAACTCCTGTTGTAGAACCCGAAAGTACCGTTAAAGGGAACCTGGAATTTCGAACCCGAGGATACCTTGGATAGGCTCAAAGGTATACCTCTCGCTCAGCTAAAACATACTGCGCAAGAAAGCTCAAAGAACACCGCCCAAACCCTCAAAGAGCCCCAAAGCCCTGAACCCTCAAAGAGCCCTAAGACCCTCAGCCCTTCAAAGAACCACGAGCCCCGAAACCCTCAAACAACCGAGGCCCTGAAGGGCCCCTGTAAAGCCCAAAAAGATCCCCAAAAAAGACCCTAACAGAACTGTAAACCCCACTACTGTTGATGGGCAAAATCCTGCATTACCCATTATAAGGAATAGTTTCCATAGTTTCCATAGTTTAGGGTCCTTAGGGTCATGCAGGATTTCGTCCATCAGCAGTAACACCATAAACCCTCAAAAGAAAACCAAAACCCACAAGCATCGCGAAACCCTCACAGAACTTTGAAGACCTCAAAGAAACCCAAAACAACCCCAAAAAAAGACCCCAGCACCCGAAAGCCTCAAACACCCTAAGCACTTCAAAACCGGAACGCGTCAAAGAATCCTCCCCCACCCTGAACCCTGAACAATCAACCACCCCCTTCCAAAAAAATTGAAGGACACCTTAGCTCTAAACCATCCCACAAAAAGAGCCCCCCCCCCCCCCCCAAAAAAAAAAAAAAAAAATCAAAAAAACAAGGACCCCGGAAGCCTCAGAGGTCAAGCAAAAGCCAGCGGCTGCTTTCGGAGCTTCGGCCATGGCTCGGGGAAGCCCGGGGCCCTGCAACGGGGGGGGGGGCTCTACGGGTCTTAAAGTGATACCTAAAAGAGCTACTATAAGGGATCTATAAGGGTTCTACTATAGGGTCTTAAATAGGGATACCTTAGAGGGCTACTAGAAGGGATCTATAAGGGTACTACTATAATGCAGGGGCCTTAACAATTAGAATAGGGTTTGGGGGGTCTAGTTATTAAGTGATCATACTGGGGGCTCTAAGGGTTTTAAAGTGATACTGTTGGGGTTACCTTTACAGGGATCCTTAAAAGGGCTCTATAAGGGATCTTTAACAAGATTCTATACACGGCTTTAATGGGTTTGCCGGGTTCTTCTTTAATGGTTCTAATAGGTTTCTAGGGTTCTTCCTTAAGGGTTGATTAAGTATAGTGCTAGTATAGGGTTCTTGAAGGCTTTATTAATTATGGGGTTCTGTAAGGCTTTATTAAGTATAGGGTTCTTGAAGGCTTTATTAAGTACAGGGTTCTTTAAGGTTTTATTGAATATAGGGTTCTTTAAGGGGTTATTGTTTGGGGCTCTGAGGGTCGTAATAGGCTTGGTAGGTTTTTGTTGGGCTCTTTGAGCTTTCGGGTACTTTGAGGGGTTTGGGATTTTACGTTTGTAGGGTTCTCTGAGGGTTATTTATTTACAGTGTTCTTTAAGGGTTAATTATTCACAGTGTTTTTAAAGTGTTTATTATTCACAGGATTCTTTGAGAGTTAAATCATTTACAGTGGTTTTTCAGGGGTGTATTATTCATAGGCTTCTTTAAAGGTTTACAGGGTTCTTTTCTTTGATCGCCTGGTGAACTTTGAGGGCCTAGGGTGAAGGGTTTTCAAGGTTTTTTGAGGGTTCTTTGAGCGTTGAGGATACTTTGAGGGTCCAGGGTTGAGGGTTGTTTCAGGGATTTTGAAGGTTAGGGGTCTGTGGTTTGAGCCTGCATAATCATGCGTTCAGAGTATGGGCCCTAAGGAGGGCAGGCTGGCTCTGGAGAAAGTCCGCCATCATAGGTTAAGAGAAAAGAAGCCTAAACCCTAAGCAGAGTTTCATAAACCCTCTGTGAGGACTGTACAGATTCAAGCACCATGCCGCCGCCAGAGCCTTCGCAGGACAGTGTTACTGCGCATCATCTTCTTAGAGCTATTGTTGTGATGATGATGATGATGATGATGATGATTAGTGTTATTGCTGTAACATTATGAATATTAAAGTAGTATTACCATCATGACTAGTAACAGCTTGTCCTGGAATACTGGGTCTGTGGATGGCCAGGACATCCCGACAGTCCTCCTTCTCGGAGACAGAGATCTAGCGCGGCAGCTGCTAAGAGCTTTGACCCTGCAGGAGGCGGGGGCATCAACATGAGGGACTACCAAACTTTATGTAGGTTCGATAAGAATGGAACGATCCGACACCGTCCACCTGCAGACACAAGGATGCTGCTGATGTCGCTGTGGGCATCCTGGAAAACAAGTACTACTCAGTGCAGCCGCCTCAGTGAGATTCTGCCTCCACAGCTGACACACCGGAGAAAGATGCGCCAAGGCGGCTGCAATACCGGGTCCTGGCCAGTGCAGAGCTGCCGGGTAATCTGGAGGACAGACAGCCGTCACATATACTTGGAGCTGCGAACGGTCCTGTGCCAGGAGGCTGTTGCAACTGCGGAGGCCATGTGGCATGCACTCGCTGGCTTCCGTAGTGATGCAACGTTTGAGGCTGCTGCAAGCTGCAGGGGGCAGCATCAGCAACGTTTGTTCGATTTTGTTGCTTCCGTAGGAGATGAACGGAGCTGATGAAATAGGGAGAAAGTGATCCATGGCACAACTGATACAATGCTGCGATGCTTCATTGTGGCATGTGGATGAGGCAGTCATTCTTGTGTGGGATGTGCACCATCCCCAGCCGTTCTATGGCATCAAAGATGTCATCAAAGGCTGCGCCCAACGTTCGCAGCGACCTTCAACCATGCAGTTGAAAGCAGTGCTGAAGTGCCGCGTGACAGCAGTGCTGAAGTGCCGCGTGACAGCAGGATGTTCGTGACCACTCATTTTCCTTCTGGGGCCTTGATGTGGGGCCAGAGCTTGACTGAACAGGCTCTGATGATCCAGAGGCGGAGGAAGCAGATGAAGGCCGATTGATTTCTGCAGTCAGTGCCGCGTGTTGCAGCGGTTCTAAGCATTAGGACGTAGCATCTTCGAAACGAGAATTCTGAATGCTGCTGCATAGAATTCCATTGCGATGCCACCGATCTCTTCTCTCTCTCTCTCTCTCTCTCTCTCTCTCTCTCTCTCTCTCTCTCTCTCTCTACCTGACACTTGCAGCAAGAAGGGTACACAGATTATGAAGGGGATACTATAGAAGCCCATAAAGCCCTAGAAAACTCTTTCAGAAGGAAGCCTCTATAGAAGCCCATAAAGCTCTATAAGCCTCTTTCAGAAGGAACCCTAGGATCTAGCGCATCAAACCCACCGGGGAGTTCAGACAGGAACCGACCGCGTCCAACTTTGCCTTGCCGTCGACAACGGCAGCGACGGCCTCGGCCCCGGGGTTCAGAGTTCTTTGAGTTTGGGAGTTAGGAGGGATACGGGTTGACGGATGTTAAGGGGGATAAGGGCCGAGAGTTTCGGTGTAGGGAGCGAGTGTAGGGATTTGGGGCTTTGGGGTTTAGGAATGTGTAAGGATTAGGGTCCAGGGTTTAGGGCTTAGGATTCGGGTGTATCAGTTGGGTTCGCCCGCCCAGGTGTAGAGCAACCCGCTCCAGCGCAGCTAAGATTTGCCCACCCTCGACCCTCTCAAACTTGACGCTTTGAGGACCTTGGATTGCAACATACCATGTCACACTGTGCGTTGCTATGCTAACTATACTATACTATTTCGTACAAATCTCATAGTCTGTTGCATCTTGTGATGTTTTGCCCTATACTGTGCTCTACTATAGTGCGCTCAGTCATACTGTTGCGAGATCATACAGGCTTGATACTTTGTCAGATACTTCCTCATGTTGTGTCTTCTCAAACTATATGTCGCATCATGTCTTGACATACCTCATAGGTTGTTGAGTAAAATTGAAGTGTGTTCTGGTGTACTACAACGTATGGGAACATATGATATGCTCCTGTACTAGCTTGTACTGACATGTTGCATCATGCTATCGTGTATGCAATCTTGCTTTAGTGCATTACACTGTTTTACAGTTCAGAGTATCACGTTGTTCCATGCTGTATCAGCCTGCTATATCTTACTTTTCAGAGCATACCATGTTATTTTGCGTTCTGTTGTGTTCTTGTGCATTCGACTTCATTTTGCGGTGTTTTGGTTTTGACGTTGTTACCATGCCATTTCTTGTCGTGCCATGCTTTGTCACGCCACATCACAGTACATCATACCACCGCTTAAGAGTTCATACCACATGTTGATATCATGCCGTATGGCATAATGTCATATATCGTATCACTTCATACCATACCGTATCATAGCATACAACATGTACGTTACTATGTCGTATCTTACCACACTACTACTTCGGCATTAGAATACTGGCTTTCATTAAATGATGATGCAGTAGCAAGTTGTGTTGTGTTTCCGTTCGTTGTGCCGTACTGTATTGTAGAACAGTTTGGGGTACTTCTTTGCCTTTTACATTTTCGTGCAGTGTGAAGTTTCTGCCAGCCAGTCACGGAGCTGAGGGAGACGCACAATTCTTTGAGAAGGGTGAGGGGCTTGCCTGAGGCTCGGAAGCCGCGTTCCCGGATCAAGAGGAGGCAAGAATCTTCAGTGATTACGGCATACGGTTTAGAGTGGCGTTGAGGATAAGGTCTTAGGTTTTAGGGTTGAGGGGTTAGGGTTTGACCATAAATTAAGATTTTGCGCCTAGTTGGTCTTTTCAAGAATGTTGTAAGCAATCAGGGCTTACAGGGTTCGGGAGTTTAGGGAGTTCAGGACATGGGAGAACTGGCAGTGCGCTACTCAGGAGTTTATAGCTCCAAGCAGGGGAGGGCTACATATGTATTTTTTTTATGAATACATATATATATATATACATATATATACGTATATATATATATATATATATGTAGACTCATATATACTCATATATACTTATACTAATGTATTTATATATCTGTACATATGCATATATACATATATGTATACATATTTACATGTCTACATATACATTGACATGCTATCACCCCACCCCCCACCCCGCACCCCCGCACCCCCCCACCCCGGAATCCAGTATAGCATTCCGCTGTCTCCTCGTGTCACATGGACACAGTCTCGGTCCCACGTCACAGTTTGTTTTACATGGGAAATGCTGCCTTTCTTACCAAAATTGTCCTCATCGTCTGTATCATCACTGTATTCGCCTACTAGATCCGTGCAATGAGCACGTATGTCAAATGCCTGTACTTTGTAGGAGCCGGAAACATGTAGATACCTGCGAAGGCTCGTTCACCATTCTGTTTTGCATGGTAAAAACTCATGAAACATGCTGTTTGCTTCGATATCCGGTGCGATGAGTGAGTTTCTTCTTTCAGCGGATATCGAGCAATGATATCCGATATCCTAATATGCAACTACCGAGGATCCCATTGATTTTTGTTTGCGATTCCATATTTGCACCGTATCTCCCTTCCGTTTCCATTTTCTAATCTAGTATCAGTATTCTAAGTTTAGAATGCATACTAACAGAAGACTAAGATGTCTCATGCTTCCACACTCAAGAGCTGGCTGATGTTGAGATATTGGTCAGTGGTTTTCAAATCTAGAAAGGAATGTTAAAGCAACTAGTATGTAAGGTCCAGTTTATGGCAATAGTTGGCCCGTTCTCAGCTTCCTAACTGATGTCAAAATATTGCTCAATAATTGTGTTCAGTTACAAGTGAGTGTTCAAGCATTTAGTATGCAGTGCTCATTTAGAGCTGATCGTAAGATGGCAATAATTGACAAGTGCCCACTTTCTACCTAGTGTGAGGTAGCTAGCCTCCGAGATCTGCAGGCAGGGCTCCTATAGCTTTCGGTTGCAGCATCCTTTGAGGTGTTACATCATGCTTGGCAGGGAAAGCTGGAAAATGTGCTTTGAGACTGGACTGGGTCGCAGCACCAGCGGCGGTAGCATGCGTGTGCAAAAGAAACCTATACGATTCAGACACATAACACGGATGCTACGCATACAGAGTGGTGTGCTTGAGTCATCATCGAATATACTGTTGCTTTTCGTTTGGATGTTTGCCTGCTTCTCAATCCAAGCACCGGTAGTATCGAAAATTCAGCAAAGGCTTCGCTACTGCGTCTCGCGTAACTATCTACCTAGGTATCATTACTGCACCAGTATTCATCAATACTGACCGCAACCACTTGTGCGACATCGTTTATTACAGAACCCTGAAAACTTTTAAGTGTACGTGAGAAAATCGAGTCAAGCAATATGTGCGCACTCAAGTTGCATGGGTTGTCTGCTGTTTGCAGTTGAACATGTCTTGGTTGCAAATTAGATTTGTGGCGTTTTTATCATCCAGTATATCTGGAATTACAGGATTTAAACATCGGATGACTGCTACTCACACGCTATATCGAAATCAACAAACATGTACTAGCACTGGTAACTACATGTTTGTGAACGTTGCTTGGATACCGTAGGCTTTCGTGTATTCTACATTTAACTTTCAGTTTGGAAATCAGATGTTGTAAACATTGTTGGAGTTGATCGTAACTAACAACACTTGGATAAGACCCTGCCAAACGAGCTACAACGACAAGGTGCGAGCCTAGGTTTCCGAATTCATACCTTTAAAACCTCAAGATCTCGCCCCAAACTTATCCCAAACTTTCTGCTGACCTAGGGAGTTCCAAAGTTCAAGGATTTCAACACCACTCAAAACTTCAACCTTTCCAAAATTTCAATGTTCAAACTTTCCAAAATGGCAGAACCTGGTACGCACGATTATGCGGAAGTGTTGAAGTTACACGATGGAAAATTTCCAAGATTTCCAAAGTTTCCAAAATCTGTAGAATGCATCAATGCTCGGGAGAAGCGCTGGGGATTTGTTCGTGAACAGGTGGCTTCGTAGCGGCAGCGGCCGCAGCAGCTTGGACCGAAGCAGTACCTAATCACCACGTTTTGTGTCATTGCTGGCCTTGCGTATGCGCGCCATCGCCGCAAGCAGCTGGCGGTACAAGCGGCAGCAGCTGCCGAAGCTGCATCTGCCGCCGCCGCGGAAGAAGCAGCACTCCGCCAACAAGAAGCCTGGGCGGCAGAGGCCGCTGAGGCTCTCCTTCGAGAGGAAGTGCCGCAGTGGGAGATTTGGAGGGGGGGGCGCGTTGCTTGTTCATTCTGGCAGCTTTCGCGATGAAGTGAATTAGGTTAGGTGATCTTCCTGCTGGTTGAAGTTCTTACTGCAGCAGAAGCGTGCATTCGACCTTGAAACGGACTGTTTGGTCTCCGTTCAGGAGTGAGTGCGGTACATCGGCTGCATCAAGACTTTGGCCCGCCGCAAGTAGCACGCCCTGGAGATGGTGTATGCTTCCATAGCACCGCCTCCCGTGCTGATCTTGTAAAGCGTTTTCGCAGCTCATCAGCATCGGACCAAATCACAGCATGCGCGCATGTCATTACTGGAACGGAAATTGGCCCTGCACAGCTAGAACTAGAGTACTTACTGCTTGGGATTCGGGTCGTGTCTTCAAGCCCATTCCTTAAAGGAGTCTGAGCAGAGAGAAGCAGCCGCATGCTTGACTCGGGGAGCGGTTTCGCGAAAATCCCGACTTCTGAGCCGGCATCCACTCCTCAGGCTGCAATGTGCTGCCTTATCCAACAGACAAGATTCATGAAAGCTAGGGTCCAGCAATGCCGCGACGACCTCTGGAAGGCTGCTGCGAAACGTGCTTCGCCCCAGCAACGCGTTTATTGTTTTGTTTGTGCGGGTCACTCTGCTTATCAAACATACCCATGAACTCATGACTCCGGAGCCACAAATCACCCAGAAGTCCCGAAATGACGGATTCAGTCCTGACCACAGAATTCCTTTTGGGGCGAAGTGATATGGCGCAAGAGGCAGCTGCTTCGCGGCAGGTCAACCGGCAGCCACCACAGGCATGGCTTCCACGCATGATTGTTCAACCTTTGGCACGAGCACAGCCAACCACAACCTACTGCAGCATGTTCTTCGAGGTTCGCAGTTCGTTTTGAGCTTGTGAACTATACCGGCTTGCACTTCCATGTTCCTTCAACTTGCTGCTGTCACGCCTCTTCGAAAGTGCAGTGCACGGCGGCTCAAGCCTTAGACGCGTGAAGCCCCCAAAGCCAGTATGTGAGCGATCCAATGTTTGCTCTTGCTCCAGCTGCTGCTGCTGCTCCTACCCCTGCTGCTACGGGTGCTGTACTCATGCTACTGCCACTGCGCTTGCTCCTGCTACGTCTACGTCTGCTGCTGCTGCTCCTGCCACTGCCACTGCCACTTGCCACTGCCACTGCCACTGCGACTGCGACGGCTACTGCTACTGCTACTGCTACTGCTATACTGCTACTGCTACTGCTACTGCTACTGCTGCTGCTGCTGCTTCTGCTGCTGCTACTGCTTCCGCTACGGCTACTGCTACTGCTTCCGCTACAGCTGCTGCTACTTCTACTTCTGCCGCTGCTGCTGCTGCTTCTGCGGCTTTTGAGAAGGCGTTGTCGGTTTCGGGGATTCGGTTTAGGAATCCTGTCCCGACTGGGAATAAACCATACATCCGCGGTTCGGACTCGGTCCAGCTGGTTGATCCTAAACCACAAACCACGGCAACAAACTATACTTCTTAGCATTGGGGCACCACGCCGAAACCGCAAGCAACGACAACAAACCGTACTTCTTAGCACTGGGGTAACCATAACGAATCAACAATCAAACGCAACAAATCCTACTTCTTAGCACTGGGGCACCGCTTCGAATCCGCAAGCAACGGCAACAAATCTTACTTCGTAGCACTGGTGCACCATGTCGAAACGACAATCTATGGTAACGTTCGTACTTCTTAGCACTGGGGCACCACTTCGAAACCACAAACAACGGCAACAAATTGAACTTCTTGGCACCGGTGCACCTTTCCGACACCACAAGCAATCGCAAAAATCGTGCTTCTTAGCACTGGGGCACCACTCCAAAACCGCAAACAACGGCAAAATACAGTACTTCTTTGCGCTAGCGCACCACTTCCAAACCACAAATAACGGCAACAAATCTTTCTTCTTACCACTGGGGCACCACTTCGAAACCACAGACAAACGCAACAAATCCTACTTCTTAGCACTTGTGCATCGCTTCGAAAACACAAGCAACGGCAACAAATCATACTTCGTAGCACTGGTGCATCATTTCGAAACCACATGCAGTCGCAACAAATCGTACTTCGTAGCCTTGGTGCACCATTTCGAGACCACAAGCAATCGCATCAAATCGTACTTCTTAGCACTGGGGCACCACTCCAAATCCACAAAAAACGGTAACAAATCGCACTCCGTAGCACTGGAGCACCACTCCGAAATCCCAACCAATGGTAATAAATCGAATCTCTGAGCACTGCGGCACCACTCTAAACTCTCAAATAACGGCAACAAATCGTACTTCTAAGCACTGGGGCACCACTTAGAAATCGCAAACAATCGTACTTCTCAGCATAGGGGCACCATTCCGAAAACACACACAACGGCAACAAGTTGTACTTCTTAGCACTAGGGGCACCACTTCGAAACCAAAATCAAAAGCAACAAAACGTACTTCTT